TACTAATTCATATGCGTTTAATATTGCTGCTTTGACCTTCTCATAGTCTGAACTCTCAGCTACCCCTAGTGCAGAGTACACCTCAGCTGCTTTTCCAACCAGTACACTTTGTAATATCGTTGACCAAACATTTTGTGGCCATTTAAGATTCTCTGCGACTTTTTCGAATTGGGGAAAATATTTGTCTACAGATTTTTCTTGAAATTTTGGAACTAATCTGATATTTTTTGCTGCGTCAAATTCAGTTTTGACAACTGTTGAAGGTTCTGGTTGGTTTTGTAATTTTAATTTCTCTAACTCAAAGTGCTCTTGTCTTTCTAATATGTCTAATTCAAATTTTCGTTCACGCTCTCGTTCTTCTCTTTCTAATTTGTTTAATTCAAATTTTCGTTCACGCTCTCGTTCTTCTCTTTCTCTTTCTTTTTCTCGATCTTCTCTTTCTAATTTTTCTCTTTCTAATCGCATTTTCTCTAACTCTAATTGAAACTGATATTCTGCCATTTTGTAAGAGCCTAACTCTGATTTAACTGTATATTCTGGAAGATCGTATTTTTCAAAGATGTTTTCTTCTACTAGTTTGTTTGCAACCTTAATTCTAATGTCTTGCTTTCTCTGAGAGGATTTAACATCTAACCCAAAATGCAAACCTAATGCGATCAAGTCATCCTTTTTTAACGTATCAAAAACCTGAACACTTGGTGAACTAAGAAAGTCTGTGACCGAAAACACCATGTTGATTTCTGCTGGCTTATAATCAAAATTAAAGGTTCAATTATAAAAATTCTGATAATAAACTGCAAAAGTGCAAATAATTCTTTATCCCGGACGAGCCCCCAATTCTGTTATGGGTCAGAATTACCCGAAATGCCAGCAAAGATCAATAACACAATTTAAACTTAACAATAATTTATTTACAGTAATATATAATAAGTATATGAAACATAAAGTACAAACTTAGCAAGAATCTAAGAATACATACATCAGAGTGTCCGTTGCTGCACACAATGTCCCAGTGAAAATATATCCCAGTTATATCTCAATAGTGCTTATACGACAAAGTATCCACAATTATTGTATATGCATTGAATTGACAGGGTATTTATACAGTATTATAAATCTAGAATATTCTAGAAATTGTTAAAACATGATATTACTGGAACAATCTGGACATACACAAATTTTAAGAATGTTCTAGATAAAATGACCGAACATGTTGACCACTCTGGAATATTCAAGAAACTTAATGTTACTAATTATATACATAATGAAACAACAAATTACAGCTCAATTCTTTCCAAAACCAGAGCGTGTAAAGGTTTCTTTATTCGATAATATTTAAAAATTTAAATTTTAAACAGGGTACATTATATCTCCATATTTTCCATGTACATGTCTTTGTAATTTACATGTAGGAAAGGGCGCATAATAAGTTTTTAGAGCTTTAATTCTATACATTTAATACAACTCTCTTTTTCTACTCTACATTTTGTTCTATAAACGTAATGAACTTACTTTGAAATTGCATTTGATCAGAAAAATGGACATAACCAATTGACATAAAATATGCTTAGTTCATTTATGAATACTTGAATTCCCTTTGTTTTACTTCTAAAATTCAAATTTTAAAATGAAAATTAATAATGGATTCTAATTATTAATAGCCATAGATCAATATTCTCGATTAATATCTACATCCCTCGTGATATTTATTTGTATTTAATTCCTTAAAAAACAAATTTAGAAAGTTTTCATCATTATTTTCAGAAGGCCACCATCCACGATAAAGAACAATCCGTACCATGAGATCTAAACAATACTTTACTGATTAAGAACTCTTTCAGTGTTAGAAATTTTAATGTGTTTGATAAAATAGCATCTCTAGACAATTCTAGCTTGTAAAATAGAAAGCTTCGTGACAAAGTGGTCTTCTCGGCTGAGATGATTATCAAACTACATGTAGTATGTTAATGTAAATTTCATTCAAAGCTGTGTCCACCTAACTGGACCCTGACGGAACAACCCCCCGGGATACACTGGACTGACAAACCTACTTTTTAAGAATTTCATGAAACCCAATTTACGTGACCTTCGATCCACCAACGTGGGTATACATCAAATAGACTCCATACCCAAACAAAGTCAGTTTAGCCCCAAACAAAAACTTTCATTTTAATCAGAAAATACTTATATGCGCATGTTCAAGATTTTCGTCATATAGAAAAGAGTTAACTTCTGTTTCCATTCCATATACCTAGCCGACATGGGAACCAATATGAGGCTTCTGAGTTTGCTGGCCATTGTTACTCTGCAATGCCTTGCAGCTCATGCCCACACAGTCAGAAATAATAGTGAGTAGTACTAGTATGTAAGAAAAAGGAGATACATTGGATTGGTGCAGCATTGTTATCTTATTGAATATGACTTTAATATAACTTTAAAACAATAATTCTAATGGTAAGATGAATTCAAAGATATTTGATACTTAAAAGAAAAATGTGAAACAGGTGTTTAAATATTTTTCAAACATTATATGTTGACCAAAATCAATTTTCATAATATCTAAATGTTTTTTCTATCCATGCAAGAAAAAATAAATTTAAAGATGCATTTTTAATGCGCACGTAATTAACATACAACAAAGTATCAACAAGAAAACATTGATGTAACCATCAATTGTCGCCCGGGAAATATATAAAAGTAAACAATGAAAATGAGTCTTGCTCATCAAACTGCTTCGATATGTGTGAAAAGGCATGCGTCTTATTGATGGAGACGATAGTCGCGAATATTTTGAAAACTTGTAGTCGGATAAAAATCAATCAAAAACGATACAATTTTAAACTTGATCAATTCCTCAAGTAAAGTTTGGCTGCATAAAATACAAATTGAAGTAAGACACACGCATCACCTATATTTAAAAATGTATTAATTTTCAATTTTAGAATATAAAACATGAACTGTGCAGAGTACGTTTTTATCCGAGAAGTAAAATTTGATGTTCTAAAAAAAGGGACCTGTCGTTTTTCGATAGTAAATGATAAACATCTTTATATATTAAATGTGAAAAACATGTACATTTTTACAGCTAGATTCACTTTATGGAAGTAATTGTATTATGTATCTCGTAATTTATAAACGGAAAGAACATCCTGATTAACAATCTTTTCAATGTTTAGAAAACCTTTAATTCTAAATAACTACTCCCACCCCAATCCCAATACACCAACACTTAAACTTATATGTATAGAGCAGCCCGGTCCTCCGGGTTGCAATTACCATATGCGACAAAGGGATCGGTTGCTTTTCAACAGTAAACGGTTAGGCTCGAGAAAAATTAGGGTCCGGTTCCTGCCCCGATCCCTCTTCCCACCCTCGATACCACATGTAGGTGCCTATGAATATTTATACGTAGAATGAATGCTTTAAATAAATTGACAAGATTTAGACTATCCTGTAACCTTCGAGAAAAAAATATTATGATAAACACAAATATTTCTGAGGATTTTTTTTGTTTTGTTAAAGGACAAATGGAAACAACCGAATCTGACCCCTTATTTGATATAAAAACTAGAACATAGTTATAACTGTGATAGTTTGTAGTTATTGACATAAAATGATGCTTGTTTTAAAACAAGCACTTATTTTCATTCAAAACTTACACAGAGGCCACAAGAGGGCGGAAGTGGGACGTATTCTCGAATTTTCTCAATTTTGTTAGATTTTTGTCAAATTTGAAATAGTTTTCACTTCGGAAAACATAGAGCACAAGCTTGCCTATCTGAAATTTTTATACATAAGATGCATCTAATGTAAGGGTGTGATTTATAGATTTGGCAGATAGGCAACCTTGTGCTTTATTTTTTTCTGAATTAAAATGTGCTGTGAAATGGATGACAATTTGCATAAAAATGAGAGAATAAAAAAAAATTGACATATTTTCTGACCTTCCAGTGACCTTTGTGTATTCCATAGCTAAGAATAAATACTAATTTTGTGTCAGGGCGACAAATTTTTATTGATTAAGTTTTAATTAATGTATAATTCTAAAAGACATCCCAAAACAGAGGACAAAAAGGGGTCTTAGCCTAACCTTTCCTTTATTCTTTTATATTACAATGTCTTTGTACACGATAAAATAACAATTTGCAAAAATATTTTCTTTCTACATCAATCTACTGGTTCATCAATAATCGCGGTTAAAAATACCACGTGCCGAGCTGGACTAATACAGGCAGAAGGGCTTGAAGCGGAATCAAGAGCATGTAAATAAAAACTGTTAGATTTTTTTATTTCATGACGAAGATCATAATTTTTCACCTGCATGTTTGTTGCGCTACAGGTTTGTCGCTCGTAATGTGCACTCATCTCATTTGCAATGACGAGATAAATGCGGCCGATTGTCTGTTTGAAGGGACAAATCCCTAGTATTCTGTATTTATTAAATACACATTTCTCAATAAATAGAATTACTAAGCAATATTTCTTATATTTACAGTCGTTGGTAGAACAGAGGCAAGACGGATCCTCAATGATCTCAGACAGAGACATGAGTCCCACGTCTCCAAGGTGAGTTTAATGATCTCAGTGACACGACTCACATGTCTCCAAGGTGTATTACCTGTTATATGACCTTTCTCAATCTATCATTACTTTGACAATGTGACCTTGACAATGAAGTTTGTCCTACTTTTCAAAAATGTTAATTTTGCTTATAACTTTTGATTGAAAAAATATTCATATTTGACATGTGCATTACCTGTAAAAAGATGTTTTCGGGCATACTATGAATTAAACAACTTGACCTTGACTTTTGGCCTGATTAAAAAAATGAATCTGTGATTACTTTTGAATGACATAGAATAAAGCATTCATATTTGACACATTATGCAATAAATAATGGCAATTCACCCCTATGACACCGATAGCGAGGGTTCTTTGAATTTGCCTGTTGATATTATAAATCTAGATTAAGTTGTCAAGGTCTATTAATTTTCATTCAGATGTCAAGAGACAATAATATCGGAGAGGAAGAGAAGGATATTGACCGTTTAATGCTTCAAGCCTTAAGAACAATGGAAGAAGAAAATGAAGAAAGCGAAGACAACGAAGATAATGGCAAGGAAAGCAACTACAAAGGCGGAGCTAAACTAATAGATGATGCTCTCAAGGTAGGAAACAGACCCTGAACAGACTCCTCAATGCTGAAGAATACGATTTCTGTTCTTTTAATTTTTTTGCCCCCCCGGATCGAAAGCTTCCGGGGGTATATTGTTTTTGTCCTGTTTGTTTGTCTGTCTGTTTGTCTCTCTGTCTGTTGTCAACTTTAACCTAGCCAATAACTTTTAAGTGGGTGGGGCTATGGCTTTTATATTTCACAGGCGTATTTCTTGTGTCAAGACCTTTCAATGGGTACCACCAAATTGACCTCTTGACCTTGACGTTGCATTGGAGTTTGACCCACTATTACAAAAATACCACACTTTAACCTTGGCCATAACTTTTGATAAATTAGAGCTAGGGCTTTCATCCTTCACATGGTTATTCATCATGACAAGACCATTCCGTTGGTATTAATATTTTTGACCTTTTGACCTTGAACTAAGAGTTTGAACACACTTTTAAAAAAACTTTAGTCTTGGTCATAACTTTTGAACAGTTACAAATATGGCTTTTATATTTCACATGTGTATTACTTGTAACAAGACCGTCCTTTGGGTACCAACACTTTTGGCTTTGACCTTTAGAGTTTTACACGCATTTGAGAGCATTCAACCCTTGCTATAAGCTGCCATATGGGAGCATCAGTGTTTCACAAATGCATTGTGCTATACATGTAGTAAGCTCTACTGATTGGAGACCATAGACACCTGAAAAAGATTGTAAGGTGTCCGTCTGTCTGTCTGCAAACATTTTCATGCAATCGATAGATCGGGGGCGCATTTTGTTTTGTCATGTCTACTGTCTCTTTGTATGTCAACTTTAACCTCCGCCATAACTTTTGAACCATATAGAAGATGGAGACTTCATATTTAGTATGCATACTTTACTAATTAAGCTTTTTCAAATGGCACCAAGGTCAATGACCTTGTGACCTTGACTGTGACCTATATCGTAAAAAATATTCTTTCTGAACCTTCGCTATAACTTTTGAACAGTAAGAGATAGAGACTCCCTATTTAGTACGCATACTCCACTAATTAAGTTCTTTCAAATGACACCAAGGTCAATGACATTGTGAGATTGGCTGTGTCCTATAAGCCGAAAATAGCTTTTATGAACTTTGTTGCCGTCGGGCGCATAGTTTTTCACAAACACATCTTGTTTTCAAAATACAGTTCCACTAGTTTTGGCATGATTTGATTTGATACCAACAACTTTTACCTTTTGATCATGACCTTGGAAATTGACCAACTTTTAAAAAATGTTAACATTGGCCGTAACCTTTGAGCTGTAAGGACTAAGGCTTCCATACTTTAGATAGTAAATTCTTCTGACAAGACCTGTCTTTAGATACCAACAAATTTGACCTTTTGATCTTGGAGTTTGATGTACTTTTAAAAATCTTTAACCTTGGCAATAAATTTTGAACGGTTAGGACTAGGGCTTTCAGACTCCCCACAGGTAATCTTTTTGACAAGGTCTTTATTTGAAACTATCAACCGCTACCCTTTGACCTTGACCCCAGAGTTTTTAAAAACGTAAGACTTAGCCATAACTTTTAAACAGGTGGTGCTAGGGTTTTTTCCCATTCCTATTTCTTGTGAGAAGACGTTAGTTAACTTAGGGTATCAACACGTTTAATTTGCATTTGAGAAAATTTAACCTTCGCTACATGTTGCCATTTGCCAAAGTGTTTCACCAACATATCTTGTTTTTAATTTAAATAAACAAGGTTTTATACAATAAAAGTTTCTGTGAAAATGAAATACTTTCACCTTCATAGTTTTGCTTTAATTTTTATGTAACTTTGCCATAACTTTTGAATTCATATTAAACGTGCATTATCTGTGACAAGACCTAAATACATGTACACTATGATTTTGACGCCCTATCCTACACAAAGATACATAATTCTGTATATTGGTTTTTTGATTTCGATGAAGGGGGTTGCCGTTGTTACTAAAAATAGAATTTTTGGTGAAATACTTTAAAAATTCTACTCCTCCTACAGTTTTGGTCTGATTTCAATACTAATACTGTAAAATGTTATTAAATGCTCCTCCTACAGTTTTGATCTAATAGCAATATATTGCCAGAAAAAGAGATTTAATCAAGGGTCATTAAACATTCAATCTATTTATTGCTGTTGTAAAGTTCCAAGTCCCATCTGCTGCTTTTCTCTTCATTTGTTATAAGTACAAACCAGTAGAGCTTTGGTCTCAAAAGAGACTTCTGGTTTTTGTTTAAACAATTCAAAAATGGTCGAAAGGCCAAGCAGAATGTCTATGACTTCGGTTAAAATTAGGACTTAAGTATTTAGGGATAAAGTCTAATTATTGAAATTTTAAATTTTGGTCCAGATTTTTGTTTAGACCTTTATTTCTAAAATTTCTAAAATTCTGAATCATACTTTCGTTCTTCCATTAAAAGATTCTACAAAAGTTTTCATTTTTGATTTGATTTTTTTTTAACATAACTGTTAAGTTAGATGCTGGTTCTGAAATCTGTTTATTTTTTTTCATAAATTTCTGTCATCATCATTGAAGCAAATATAGTTAATATATTCTGAAAGTCCAGGGGAAATATGAGCCGATTTTAACTTTAAATTATTTAACATATATTTAGTAGACTAGTATATAAAAATTTAAATCACAGACCCCGACTTTTAATTACCTTTTCTGGATATACAAGAAAACTCCGATCAATCTGCTTAAATTCAGAAAAGTTTAAGAATTGTGTGAGTGCAGAAACAGAAATTACAGAACCAGTATAAAACATTTCATTGCAAGAAAGAAAGGCCCATGGGCCACATCGCTCACCTGAGTAATTTTGGTGATGTCGTTCTTTACCAGATTCCCTCCCTTGCAATACTTATTGTGGCCTTGCTGTACACCCCCCTTGTCACATTTTTAACAATTTAGAATCTACACTACCCCAGAATGCTTCCACATAAGTTTCAGCTTTTCTGGCCCAGTGGGTCTTGCGAAGAAGATTTTTTAAAGTTTTTTTCCTATATATTTCTATGTAAAAATTTGATTCCCTATTGTGAACCGCCCAACCCCCGGGGTCGTGATTTTAATGTAGAATTAACACTATCCCAAAATGTTTCCACATAAGTTTCAGCTTTTCTGGCCCAGTGGTTCTTGGGAAGATTTTTTAATGGCCCCACCCTATTTTTGTCTTTCCTTAATTATTTTCCCTTGTGAGAGGTCTTTACCCTTCATTCTAAGCATTTAAACTCCTTTTCCACCTATGGATGCTTTGTACCAAGTTTGGTTAAAATTGGCTCAGTGGTTCTTGAGAAGAAGTCACAAATGTGAAAAGTAAACAGACGGACGGACAGACAGACAGACGGACGACGGGAAAAATGTGATCAGAAAAACTCAGTTATATACAACTCCGTTTTTACTGCTCAATGTCTGCTTAATTTTCAAGAATATATTAAAAGTGACTCAGAACACTGCAGACATAAACCATTTAAGATTAACATGTATTTCACGACATACATGTATTATAAATTATGTTATTATTTACTCTTTTTTTGGACATTTTGATGAATTAGCCAGCTTCAAAATATTGCAATCCTTGTATTTACCTTATAATAGCAACAATGATTATATAACATAAAAATGAGATCTGCAATTTGATTTTGTTAAGAGCCATGCTTATATTTTTTTCAGGGTAAAATTGACCCAAATTCTGACGTGGTTAATCTTCTAGAGAGTATGTTTGTGGATGAGGGAAACAGACACCATCAACACGTAAGTCTCAATATACATGTAAGTCTAAATCAACAAGTAAGTCACAATTACACATAAGTCACAACCTACACGTACGTCACAATCTAAACGTAAGTCACAATCTACACGTCAGTCTTAATATACATGTACATGTAAGGCACAATCTACATGTTAGTCTCAATCTACACGTAAGTCTCAACCTACATGTAAGTCTCAATCTACACATAAGTCTCAATCTACACTTTAGTCACAAACTACAAGTAAGTCACAATCTACACTCAGTCACAACCTACACTTAAGTCAAAATCTACACGTAAGTCACAATCAATGCGTTAGTCACAACCTACATGTAAGTCACAACCTACACGTACGTCACAATCCACACGAAAGTAAGCCACAATCTACACGTAAGTCACAATCGACACGTAAGTCACAATCAACACGTAAGTCACAATCTACATGTAAGTCACAATCTACACGTAAGTCACAATTTACACGTAAGTCACAATCTACACATTAGTCACAATCTACACGTAAGTAAGTCATAATTTACACGTAAGTCACTTCCTTCACGTAAATAAGTCTCCATCTACAGGTAAGTCACAATCTACAGGTAAGTCACAATCTACACGTAAATCACAATCTAAGAGAAAAACACTTTATAATCAAATCAACTGAATTTAGTCATGAATGATAGAAACTGCATAGATTAGATTATTTACAGAAATATTAAATAAGATATTAATCAAGATAATAAAATGTAGAATGAACAAACTATCTGTCAGTTCATCATTCCGGTCAGTCAAGATTACTCAAATATGGCAGACTCCATATAGATACAGTCTTTGACAAATACATAAACACTATATGGGACTTTCCTCTAAGGAACTTTGTAGTGAACAAAGGCAGTTCACCAAACGTGGGAAAAATATATAATGTAAATCTATTGGTTCCTAAATTCACATGGCATGAATCACATGTTTGAAAATGACCACAAAGGTAAAATAGCCATAGGCATTAATTGAATATGTCAACTAATGATCAATATATAGTACAATTAAAGAACCAAGGGAGAATAGGGCAATACAGGAATGTGTATCCAATTGTATTTGAATTCAATTATAAACAAAACGATGATGATTTTGTAGATGATGTAGATGATGATGTAAATGATGATCAAGTGAAATAATCATAAAATCAAGAAACACAATATTGACCTTTAATATCAATTATTAATTATAAATACATGAAATACGTCTATTGATAAATATCACCCTATTATAATAACTCATCCTCTGGCCGGGACATCGTCTCAAGCCACGGTCCGGAGTCCGCATATATAGCTCTTTCCAGAATGGGAGAGCATCGTACATTTTGGCCGTGGTTTACGACGATGCCTCTGGGACGACCGCATAATTCAGCTTCAAGGTGAACGTTAAACGATTCGGAATGGGATAGGGAGTTCCACCAAACATTATGTTGATTCAAAAGGCATGAAAGGGCTTGACAGGATATTGTTGCATGGGACAAATGTCAGAAATCGATTACCGTATAAAATGCATGCAAGCGAATTTTGAGAGGGTTTTGAAACAATAAATTTGGGGATGAATTTCACTGTAAGAATTCGCAATTTTCCCAACTTTGATATACAAAATTACAGCATTGAATTAAAAAAGGTTGGGAAAAAAACTCACTGCGATCGATACAATGAAGAGTGCAGTTTTTTTTTGAAAAGCTATAAATGCATTATATATTTCCATGATAATTTTTATTGGAACGATCTGGAAGATAGCCAGGTGTTCAAGTAATGTGAAAGTTGGTACGACTGGAGAAGAAATAATACATTTGGGATGAATCCCATTTGGTCCCCGGTTCCAGTTAATTGATAGAGGAAGGTGAATGTGCGCAAAGTTAATATCTTTTTCGAAAGATAGTTGGAATCTAGTCTACAAAGCCTGCCGAAGAAAAGAAGTTTAATCGTTCCATATAGCAAATGGGGATTACTTAAATATTTTGCATACAACAGCTATAATAAGCATTTGTTCTTGAAATATTTAAGAATTCACTTACTTATTCGTTAGATATTAAATGCACAATAGCGTTTTTTTATTTTAGCCAGATGGGATTGGAAAGATAGCTCGCAGGAAAGGGAAAGTCTTTGGTGACACCCATGACAACCATAAACTAACAAAGCAACAACTCAACGAGTTAAAAGGCAAAGTAAGTCAGCAAATGAATTTGTAATAAAGAGTTTTTGAATTTTCTGCTGAGTCTTTACATCATCACACTCGACTCAGATAATTAAGAATTTCTCACCAAAACATACTAGTAGTAGTCGTCATATGAACATGGTTAAAATTCTCTAGGGCGTGCCGTGTGTAAAACAGTGACGTGTGTAAAAGGTGTTGGAGTACTGCAGTGATATCGAAGTATTTTAAGGAGTATTTCAATGCATATGAGACAGGTTCCTTCTATAGATGTGAACAAGATAAATAGTTTCACCTACGCCACATGCGCAAAGACGAACTATTTGTGTGTGTGTAAATATTATTATAGTCTACTCTTCAATGTGATGGTTTTCTAACATCTGTTAACATTTATCAGTGAAAAATTAAGACTTCTTTGAAAAAAGATACATATACTAAAAGGTTTTTCTGGTATTCCCAAAAGATATGCCACTCATCAGGTTTTTAGAAAAGGTCAGACAGAACCTTTTACTTCAAAACTTTTTATTATAATTCAGTTTTTATGACATATTTAAACAATGTAAATTATTCAACATTCAACGAAAAAAAAAACTGTTGAAATATCAAGAAATCAACTCGTCTAACTTTCAAAGAGTTAACACAGAGAAAACAAATGGAAATGGAAATATTATCAAATTAATAGTTTTTTTGCATTCTGTCCTGCTGCTTTTCTAGGGTTTTCCTTTTCAAAATCTTTTGTTAACTTGTTTAAGCCCCTTTGAGATTTTTCAGTCATATTGAGTCACTGCATCTTGTTGCAGGAGGACTGCAAATTTAGGCCTGTACTCGGCACTTTGTATCATTGAGCAGTGAGGGGCCTTTATCGTGCTAGCACCCACTGCGACACGGGACCTCCTTTTATACAGCCTTATCCGAAGGACGGGTTTCCACTGCAGTGTGTCACGCAGGCGATCAAACCTGTATACATGTATATGGTTTTCGAGAGTACTTGACATTTAAATTATGTCAATCTATATTTTCATGGTCATTTAACGATTTTATACATCTTTAAAAAACTTGCAAATGTAAAAATCTGCTTCAGTTTCTCTCTGGTAAGTAGGTAATTACCTAGTTAACCAAAATGGTACCTATCAAAATAGTTGAACAGCAGAAACACCGTTTAGGTCACATACATGTAAGCTTACCATAAACAAATTTTCTTATCTCTAATACAGATGAGTTACTCTGGTTTATTTTAAATAGTTCTTTCAATGGAATTTTAATTAAGAAAATTTAATTGTGTAATATGAAAATGACCCCCAGAAATTTTGTAGTAAGAAAAAGAAATACATATTGAACTGTATATTTATTTAGTATTTTTCACTTTTCAAAAAATTATGTTGCTTCAACTTAACAAAAAGTACATTTAAATGGGAGAAGCACCTATTTTTACAAAGATATTTGAATTTTTGAAGAAAAAAATGTGTGTTATTTATCCTTTGAAAGAGCTACGGTAACCTTTCTGTATGTAAGTACATCGTAAAATAAATTGTTTCTGTAAAAACAATTTCCATAACGTCTAAAACCTACAATTTATCAAAGACAGTGTAAAAAGCGAGAGTTTCTCAATTTTTATCACAATGTGATTCACTCCCAGAACGCTATGAGGGAAATACAGATTAATATCGGCAACCATTTGATGTTGATTTTGATGCTAACCGCGACCATTTAAAAATCGCTAATTGGAAAAAAAGAGGAGATAACGCATAACAAAGAGTAAAAACTAACCGCGGAAAAGCAGAATAGTTTGTGAAAATAAAAATCCTGGAATAGCAGGCCAGTCAACAAAATAGTGGAAAACCATTTGTTTTACGGAGAAAAGCAGGATATCTTTTTTTTCAAAGAAAAAGTGTCCTTCCTAGGAAAAGTGAAATTAAAGCGGTGCAGTCAGGCCTTTCTCTCTGCAGCGTTTTTGTTTTCTTCTAAAACTGAAAAAATTATTTTATTTACTTGATTTTTAAAAAAAAAAATTTATTTATTCAGGTGAATAATCTGTAATGAGTATTTATATTAAAATTCTTTGAAATTGTTTACGGACCCAGACTTTGTATAGCTTGTAGGACAACCAATATATATTGCTATTATGTTATCGAATGCTTGTTTTTGCTTATAATATATAAATTCATGTAACCTCTGTTGTTTTTTTTTTTTACATGTATTTAGGGTGGTGGAAGAAAGACGAGAAATTTCTTAACGACTGCTCCACTTTGGCCCGATAATATTATTCCATACACAATCGACGGCAGTTTATGTGAGTCATATGCGAAGTATAGTGTGAAATCAAACAGCAATGATTTGTTACATTCAAGTGCATTATAAATATAATTTTAATCTGACGTTTTGTGAATGTCCATCTATAACCCAAAATTATTGCTTCAATTCTTCTTCTTTATTGTACACATGCGCAAAAAAGTGCTAGGATTTACCATGGTGTAAATTCCATAGATATAAATGTCGGATGACCGAGGACTTTAATATAATCTTCAAAGTAGATGATCAGAATTTCTTCCTACTTTTGCTTGATAAAATTCAATGTTGCTTTTAGGTTAAGCGCTAAAAATGAAAGACGCGTGACCTTGATATTGTTGACATTGACGATCATAACAACTAAGCAATAGATAAGACCTTAAGTTTATTTTTCTGGCACTTACATTTTGTAGTTCTTTTCTTGCCTTACAATGCAGTTGAGTTTGCAAAGCTTTTTTCATACTTCACATAAATCTTTTTCTCTCTGAAAGGCTGTTTCTTGAAAGCATGATATGTATAAAGACAAGACCCCTATAAAATCCGCCATTTGCATTGTACTTTCGGTTTCAAGTCTTAACATTTGGACAAAATAAACAGGGAAAACGACTTTCTAGAGGCTATCGAGGTCCTGTTGGCACTAAATCATTGATAAACATATTTTGTATCTGCAATGATGAATTTCACTAAAAGTTTGGATGTACTTATGTGTATTTTGTAAAAGTATATGCATTTTTTACAAAGTATATTTCTCCATAAATATTTTTTTAAGTATTTGTTATCAAGTGATACTTTCTATCTGTTTATCAATGATATATTTATAAACTTTAAAGTTTTAAGTCTATAAACCATACAGTTTAGTAGCTTTTGTAAAAATAAATTTTTGGGCATGTTGACCTTTGGTGAAACCTTAACTAAGTTTGGTCAGCATCAGTCCGAAAATTAACATTTTTTTTTTCATATTTTTCTTTTTCAAATTTCCTTTCTACTGAGTATTTCTTTATAAAATGCAATTGCCTGATATTTCTTTTCTATGGGAATCTTGTTTCTTAGAAATTTAATCTGAACAATGCGTTTAAAAAATAGTAAAAATATCTTTTTATAGTCATAAATTATTTTTTTGAGGACTCTCTGATCCTTCTTGACATGTTTTTAAAGATATTTATATTTTGCATTTATTAACAGCAAATATGAAGCCCTAAAGCATCTATATAATTAGCAAATTAAACATTTTTAATTTAGATTTTCTATGGCAAAATTAAAAAGCTTTAAAGCTAATCAAGAACTATCCTCAATTTCCAGTTAGTTCAGAAATTAGTTCAGAAATTAAATTTGATACACTCGAGGCTTTAAGCATTTCTCGCGACTTTTCGCTCTTGTTCGTCAAGTAATTCTGTGTTGGTTCTTCACAGACTGTTAATTTTTTGTTCCTCAGTTTTGTGAAAGTAAAGGGACAAATAATTTCATTTGTCCGTCTATCTGTATGTCTGTCAGGCTTTGATTGTAACTTTTAATTGAAAAAAGACAGGGCTTTCATATTTCACATGTTCTTCACCTGTGACAGGATTTTTCCAAACATACCATAATTTTTGACCCTGTAACCTTTCTTAAAAAAGTGAAGTCGCTTGAATGAGAGAAGATAGTGTTCATATTTGATAAGTGCATAATCTATGACAGGATCTATTTAAATACCATGCTTTTTGACCCCGTGATTTTGTTTGATCTACTTTTAATGATAACCCTACGCTTATGCAGTAGAAGAGTCAGAGCTTTCGTATTTATATTTTTTAAACAGGCAATATTTGTGACAAGGCCCTTCGGATAGTTATGATTTTTTTTACCTCATAGCCTTAAGCTTGATGTTGAAAATTGATGAGTTAAAAATACTTCAGTCTACATCATAAATTTTCAGTTCAAAATTTTAATTTTTTGTTTGATGGACAGATAAGATAATTATGACATGGTGATACAGACAAGGCCGTTACAATATACTTTGGACATGGCATACTAAGTGTTTTATAATTATCGCTCAATCCCATTTGGAAAATCTTGAATAAAGAGTTAAATCTCAGAAGAGATTTCTGTTTTATTTTTTCAGAAACCCCCTTTCGTAGAAATACATTAAAATTAATTCAGCAAAGAATTCCAACTTTTGAAATGTGAAAATTTCTTTTTTCAGCCGGAGTTCAAAGTAATTTGGACGTTATTAATGCAGCAATTCAACAGTTTACAGATTACACGTGTCTGAAATGGGTTCCCACAGGCTCAACGGAGGCGCAGTCACTTTCACATAATTCCTACATCGAGTTCTTCTCTGAAAGGTCCGTGGTTTTTTTTTCAATTGCCTGAAAATATTTTGTTCTATTGTTATTGCCATCTTTATTTTGGAGAGCGATTTTTTGCCTTGTTCGATGAATATAACCAAAAACAAAGGTAAACCAATAATTGTATGATGTCAAAATTCTAAATTGATTCTACGCAACGCGTATATAGTGCTTTAAATAGATGCTGAGTTGCTTGAAATATCAATTTATTCTCTCTTTGTCTGACATTGCAAACAAGTACAAATTATTATTTTGATTATATTCTTCTGAGATTTAGATTATTGTACCTGTACAATGAGAGAATTGGTAAAATCTTCCGTTTAAATGGGGCGTTTTGAGCTTTTTTTGAATTTTGATTGTTACATAATGACACGTCCATGCATTTAATTTGTTATGATAGGTAAAAAAAATTTCTCACACGTACGCTTCATTACCTAAAGAACAGGCGGACATTCTGTAAACAGTATTTAATACTGCCCCAATTAGGCGAAGACTGACAGTCTACATAGAAGAAAATGCAAAAAGACCTAAAGAATTTCACTGTGTGTGACGTCATGACGCTTTGCTTGTCTACATTGTTACCACATCAAAGGAAATAATGGGGATCGCTTCTCTCTTTAGTCAACTGCAATATACATGTACATCGATTTCACGGCGTTCATTTGGAGCTCCCACTGCCTTGTTGGACATTCACCGCGTGTAACGTTTCTTGCGTTCTTATCAGACGGCGAAATCCATTGACTTCTGAAGGTCCATGTTTGCTCGCTTCTATTTTGTATTGTATCTGAGCTTATAACACTACATGTGGTTACCTAGTATTGTCTTAGTATAAGGGGGATGTACAAATATTTTTCTGCTGTAAACTAGCAAACCATATCCAACACCACTCAAAGTGCTAATGTACCTACATAGAGACCAAAATTGTAAATAATAAGTTTATGAATTAGAAGAAAATTAATCATGTTAAATAAAATACATGGTGAAAAATGCATTGAAAATGGAGTTAGTTTGATTCATTGATAATATGGCTACAACCATTTGTTTCGTTTTTTTCTTGTCAATATCCATAATTCTTGAAAATTTGATTTTTCATAGGGCTAAGGATGGCTTGCCGAGCCACTCGAATAGCAATGATTTTAGAATAAAGCCCAAATAACATCGCAAGAAATTATATTAATCATTAGGTTATATTACTTACTACTTTTATTTGTTGCATCGTGTGATTAATTGTTTAATCACTCCAGCAAATCGGGAAATTCTTCCTGTTTACAACTCGAAATTCCTCTTTAATATTATTCCAAAGCACATGGTTGGCATGTGCTATTTAGATCCGTTTATTACCATGATTATATTTAATTTTTTTCGGCATTTGTTGGTCTTGATAATTTGTTGGTTTCTGCAGTAAAAATGTCCTAAACATTTGTGTTTACGCCTGTGGCGTAAAGTTATTTGCAATATACGTGACGTCACAATTTGAAAATGTTAAACAATATGCAGTGCATGAAAAATAAATTGTAATTACATGTCTTACATTCGAAAAGTACATATGTCTATTTTATTTATTAGGGCAGTGATTTCCTTCGGAAAAAAGCTTTGGACCCACACATTTATTATGTTTGGACACAAAAACCTTTATTATGGACAATGTAAGGGCTCATTGAACATACGAAGCTTGATAAAATATAATAAGTTGGAAATTTAACAATGTTTGCAAAGAAAGGTCCATTGCATATGCTAGTCTCATCGCAAAAAAGTGAGTGTTAAGTCAACTATGTTTGTTTTTCAAAATAGTGTCAAAGATTTCAAAAAAAATTTGCATTACTAAGTATGTGATGGAACATCTACTAGCCTTATAAGACCACTTGTTATAAAAATATTTGGTTGCACTACTAGACGACTCATTTTTTTAACATCCCATTACACGTTTCCGTCAACAATTCTGTTTAAATTTTAAGGAATTTTTTTCTCACCTATAAATACGGACCCAATAATTTTCTTTGAAAGCATATTGCTTTAAAAAAACACATCCCTTTTCAAACTTGCTTTCACCGGGCAACATAACAAGTATCATATTTAACCATCTGCCTTCCTTCACTTCTGATGTTATGGAGGCCATTTAATAAACTGTGAACCTTATACGCTACTTCAAAGGCTCTGATATACTCCATAAATGTGCCATAAATATTTTGTATTGTATGGACTTTTGTCAAAAGCTTGAATACTCATTTTCAGATTGTGACATCACAAACAAGGAGCAAAACTTCATATACTTGTGTTTGGCTATCTAATCTGAATTGTGGTTTTATAGATATAGAGATATACGAACTTTTTGATAACGCTTGTACTAGTAGGTACTAAAACAAGGTCATTCGTATCAATTTTATGTGTCTAATTTCTTTGTGTTTTATTGGTGATAATTAAAATTTTAATAGATAATATAATTTATCTGTGTGCTTATTTTTCCTTACCTGGAATCAAAGAGTTTAATTTTTTTTATATTAAACCTCTCGGTAATAATACAATCTAAGCGCGCGCACGTCATCCTTTCATTTAAAGGTCATGCATTTTGCTCTATACACTGTTTGATCGGTACACATATTATTTTAACTTTAACAGGTCTTGTTTTGAACTTGATTTCCATATATAGAAGTCAAGAACGATAACTGCATATCAAAAGTTGCTATGAATATACATCATGTACTTAAAATTTGACGTAATTATTTTTCTGTCCATTCATACAACAGCATTTTTACACACTGAAAAACATATTTTAAAAGAACAGAAAAAAAAAAAAAACCACGTGCTTTTGTTTTTTCCCAAAAAAGAAAATCTTTGGAAGTAAAATGAAAAATTTTGAATATAAAGGTATTCCCCACATATTTACCGTAGACAAGCTTGACATTTTTATCTCGGTAAAGAAAGAATAATGCATGCTACAATGTAATCGAAAATACAGAGGGATAAATCACACCAGTTAAGTTGTAATCAAGTTCAATTATAACCTTTACCAGAATATACTATATGTTGCAATTGGTAAATATAATTCTGCTTAGCCATTCGATTTTCATCGATGATACTTTGAATTCCATGTGTATAGACCGACCTCACACAAGTGTTTATCGTATGGATTACATATAGTTTTAAGATTTTGTCAAAGGTCAACATGTCCCAAAAATTATTTTTACAATAGATCCAAAACTATGTGGTTTATTAAAACTTTTACAGTTTATAAATATATCGTTGATTAACAGATAGAAAGACTCACTTGATAAAAAATACTTAGAAAAAAAATTATCAAGAGAAATTATTAAAAAAAAATGAATTTATTTAAATAAATACACCCCAATTAATGCCGTGCTTTTAATGAAAACTATTATTGCAGAAAAAATATATGTTTATCAATGAAGGGCAAGTTGGAGTTCGATAGCCTTTGGTTAGTTGTTTTCCCTGTTCATTTTGTCCAAATATTAATACTTGAAACTGAAAGTACGATGCAAATGGCGGATATTG